AGTTAGTAGATGGATGAGCGACGACGGGAGCAGAAGCGGTATGCCACGGAGACGCTGATGACGACGGGTCCAGTGACGACGCGCCCAAGCATTCAGCGCCCATAAGCGCCTTCAGTTAGTGTCAAAAGGACTACATGCAGATATAGATGTAGTGACACATTTTTTTATTATTTCATACGATTAGAACGACAAGATAATGCGAGACGTACATAAACTTAGCATTTCAGGCAAGACTCAAACTCACAAAACGGCTTTGATAGATATCAATCAATTTTTCAAAAGAAAAAGAAAGCCAACGAATAGATGGAATCAAAATTTACAACAACTCTGTACCTCTGCTAAAGAAGAGAGAAGAGAGAAGAGCCAGGCACTGCTCCAAACAATAGTGGGACTTCCTAATATTAAAATCCATGACGAAAACCACACTATGATTGAAGCCGAATACTCGAATACCAACCCGATGGTCAAAGAAAAAAGCAGACAAAAACGCTAGTACAAAAAATAAGCAATTCATAAACGATTCCGCGATATTACTTCGAATAAGAAAGCTAGAACATCGAAGAGATGGTGCCAGAGTTGCCCAGTGAACTAGTTTAAATTCCGTTGAACATAGTCTTGATTTTTTGAGATAAAATGGGCGCAAATAATCAAGCAAACGTTCAGAGTAAAATAACTATGAGAGTATGAAACAAAAAAAAAAAAAAAAAACCACAAACCCATCTAACATACGCTCCACTTAGATGTACACTTCTCATTGTATTGCTTTCCAGGGACAGATTTTTTTCACAGATCCAGCTAATCTAAAAACAAAACGTCATGACAAAAAACAAAAAAAATGAAAAAGGAAAATAGATATAGAAAAGATTATAAGAGAAGATATATAGAATATATAGAGAGAAATTAAAATATAGATAGGAAGGATAAAGAATGTTTAAAAAGCACGTGAGAAATATGAAGGAACTAAAAAACCATAATCAAAAAAACATCAGAAAATTATTCATTGAATATATATAATAGAGATATATAAGAAATAGTTATCGACTTAAAAACAACATAAATAAAATAAATTTGAGAATCAGACGATGAATTATAGAACCTAAAAATATAAGAATATAAGAGAGAGATGGAGGAGTAGCCAAATATTATTAGAGAGAGACGATACCTATAACACACCAACCCAGATGAATAAATTTAATTATTTCTAGTGATTATCTATGTAATTTTGAATAGAATACCAAAAACCAGGATAGTATTTCGTCTTTCGTTTCCAAACCCGAGCAACATTCCAAGGGCTTATCTGTTAAACCAGTTGACCGTAAAATGTACACAAAAACAAATCAAAGACGAACGAATAAAATAAATTAATTCTGTCCGAAATCCGTGTTCGGCATCAGGTCCTCAAAATAGGGTGTTAGCATGAAATAAGCCAATAATTCCTTTACGTGTATCAGTGAAAGACTCAATTCTTAACGAGCGTATCTTTATGTCACCGTATTTTGGGGGCTTTATATGAGCACACCAAAACTTCCCATGCAACTATCACAATATGTGAAGGCTACTTGTGTGGGGTTTGTATGTATATGTATGTATGTTGCTTTCGCCAGCTAAAAGGCGATAAAAAGCCTTGGTGGAACAACAAAGAAAATCAGTATGTAGCTAAGTTTTGAGCTCTTTGGTGTTTTGACATCGGCTGAATTGTGATAACCAACACGAAGGCAATAGAAAACATCTTTGACGAGCACTCTTGACGATAGTCATATGGGGCCGATATGCTGAATGTTGGGGATGGGGAAAGGTTGGGGAGGTTCGTCGCAGGACCCACTTTGCAACGATCGCACCTTTCATTTTGCAGCTTTGTTTCCTATTCTTTTACTGTTCTCTGATTGTACATTCGTCGCTGGCTCTAGTTGACTGCTCTGTTCTGGTCTTTTTTCTGACTGTATATTCGTATGTCAATGACTTTCTGCATCCACGCCACATTAGAAAAAGAGCCGGCGCAGAGGCTGATGTCAGAGTTCGCGATTTGCGCGATTTTCGCGAAACCTGCGATGGATCACAGGAGTTGGAAGTGCCCGATGAATACTGCGAGGTGTTGTTTAATCCTGCTGCGAATTCTGCTTGGCAGTAAAGATTGGAAGACGAATGTTTGTGGTTCTACTTGTTTCATGTTCAATGTCTATTAGTTCATTGAAATGCTCTTGAATCGTTCCTATTTTTTTCAGGAATCAAACCAAACCAATCACAAAAATTGCAAGTGCCCCATTTGAACAATTGAAACACTGGATATGAAACAAGTGGAATCATGAGCAGTCTCCATTAAACCATAACCATCAAGCAGAAGTGACGGCGGGATTGGAGAACACCTTGCAGTATTGATGGGGCACTTGTGATTTCCGTGACCCGTCGCGCAAATCGCGAAAATCGCGAAAATCGCAAATCGCGAAAATCGCGCAAAGGATCGCGGACTCTGACATCAGCCAGTGGCGGCTGGAGGGAACCGGAGAGATACATGATAAAGAGGAGAACAGGAAAACCAATTTCTAGCAGAATTGGGGCATAGTTAAAAATTGAGATGTCATGTCATGGTGTCATAATGACGATGGCGCACCCTACCACACAAACCCATTTTTTTTATCCTACGCATCCACTACACGAGCTGTTGCTGCTGTATGCGTGAGCGCAGCGAAAACGTAGGGAAGGGTGGTCCTGGCGGTTGCCGGGGATCAATCTGCTGGAGAAGTTGTGTGGCTTCAAGGCATGCAATTGGACGAAATCAAGTATCTCACTAGAAAAATTCGGATCTGTATTTCGACCAGGGATATTTGCTAATGCAATGTCAACGAAAGTAAGCATGTAGGAAACCGTAACTATGACTGCTCTCAAACAGCTAGCAAAACGCAACATGCCAAGAGCAGTAATGTCTTCTGAAGCTTTCAGGAAACCTGCGATGAACAAAATAAGGCGGTACCGCAAGATACAGGGGCATTACGACGGCTAAGCATCCAAAACCGCGTTAAACTTTTTTTGTTATAAACAGGGGCTAGACCTTGAAGTGGAAGAGGGATTCCATCGTGTGTGAACGATTCATTCTCTTACAGTTTCCCCCTATGCCCTCCTACGCTTACCCTAAAGGATATTCCCGTATTTTGCAATAGCGTCACTTTTCATGAGCGTGTGTAGGAAAAGTATTGGAAAAATGTGGACGCGCAGTAAACATGTAAGACCCTGCTCAGAAAGTATTAGAGTTATTAACGATTCCCCTTTTTAGGTGCCTAAAAAGCTCAGTATCAGCTACAGGTTTTAACATGTTCTTCTGTTAATAACAGAGCGATCAAGTGCGGCACCAGATTAGCCCTCCCCGTGAATCCAGACCCAAAAAATATGATATGACACCTGATAGGTACGCTACATGGAACACAAAGGCTGATCTGGACTCTGATCTTACAGAAAACCATGAGACTCACGGGACATGAACAATTCTAAGTTACAGAAAACCATTAAACAGAAAAGATCACCACCAAGAAGCAGTGCTGGTGTTGTTCTTTTCGCTTCTCCGACGAATTATCTTTAACAGAGACGGAGGATATGAAGGGAATTCACGATACGAGTACAAGAGGCCGTAGCCACACCTCCATCATCTGTGTATGAATAGCAAGAAGGTAGACAGGGGACGCTTCTGCTCCACAAAGGAAGAGCAAGATTAAGAAAAAGTAGAGTTTTAAAGACTACAGGACCTCTTGAGAGATTCAGAAGTTTATTTATTTTGAGAATAGCAAGAAAGCAAAATGTCAAGAGTGTATAAGGATCGAGTTTCCATGCACAAAGCTTTCCTAGAGGCACAAATTGGTGTTCAATTGTGATTCCAAGCAAGTGACAGCCAGTAGACGTTCATGAACGACAAGAAATGGAAAGATGGAACTCCATACTCGCGAACCCAATGAACCACAGTAAGTATATTGAAGGGATAGGTCAAAAATCCGATAATCTGAACCCGAAATCAAAGAAGACGCCGATGAACGCACGGAAAATACGGACCGCTCGCGTCGCATCGCTTGCCGAAGCCGTGTTGCGGTCGCGCGGCGGCCGAATTGATCCCTGAACTCGTGACGGCGCCCCTTGAACATGCCCGTCGGGATTTCCAGAGGGATCCTATGCTGGAGTTGGAGCTTGTGGTGTCAGAGTTTTGGGATTAAGTTGTGAGCCTAACCCCACAAAAGTGGGATGCACCAACAACTACTGGTGGAATGATGCGAAATCGCATCAAGTTTGGAGATCCCTCAAGCTGGGTCATAGATTCCGAAATTCTTCTTCAACATTGGTTGTTTGAAGGCTTCAAAACTTCAGTGCACTCCACAGAACGGAAGCAGAATGACACGAAGGTTATGGGGGCGGAATTTGCTTTGTTGTGGTGGTCTCGAGGGAATGCGTCCTTTAATATTTTGCTCAGCCGGAAAGAAAATCAAAGTCCTAAATTTATTTTAAAATATTTGCTTTGTTACTTTATTTTGTTGGGGATTTGACCTCATCAACAAGCGGGAACTCATGATAAGATCCATATGTTGTTGTTATTCGCTTCTGTGTAGTGCAAGAGTGGTAGTGATTGCTCGTAATCTGTTTTTTGATGGGATTTTGAGTAGTACTAGTGTTGTCTCTTTTATATAGATGTGTCGAAAGTTATTTATGATGTTTAGATTCACAAGCAAGGGAATCTGGGTGCTAACTTAGTTGGGGGGGGCCACGCGGCGGCGCGGCAGTCTGCTCGCCTGGCATGTTCGGAAATCCGTGGGCCAGGGGGAGTGTAGGCAGTCTAGGGGGGTGGGGGTGGGGGCAGTCACTTGACATGCGTGAAAAGCTGGAATGTTCGAGTTTACACTGTCTCGCTCGAGAGAGCCCAGGTGAGCAGACTGCCGCGCCGCCGCGTGGCCCCCCCCAACAACTAAGTTAGCACCCTGTTGCTTTATGTGCAACTTTTGATAAGTATCTATTCTTTAGCTTTAGAAATGAAGTACTTGGGAGCTTATCTCCTGGCAACTTTGGGAGGCAATGCATCTCCGTCAGCAAAGGATATCCTCGCTATTCTAGGTATGGATTTGATGCTGTTTAATTTTCCTTAGCTTATCCGCGCAATGTGGCTCGGAGGGGGCCAGTCGCCGCGCGCGGCGTTGCGGCAACAGTAAATTCGTGAGCCAGGGGGAATGTAGCCAATTCAGGTGGGGGGTGAGGGCAGTCACTTAGCATGCGTAAGAAGCTGGAATGTTCCGTGAGAAGCTGGAACGTTCGAGTTACACTACATTCGCTGAGCCGCGCGCGGCGACTGGCCCCCTTCCGAGCCACATTGCGCCGTTTATCCTATTTGGTCTGGGCGCAATGTGCCTCCGGGGGGGGGGGGGCAGTCTGTCGGAAGGCCACTAGGACTAAGCCTAACGCAGAGGGACGAATTCCGGAGCGAATGAAAATTGCTTACGCAGCTCGGATTCCCTCTTTTCCTCAAAGCTTAGTCCCAAAACTGAAAGTTTCCGTGAATCTGACGCAATGTTACAGGCTGTTCCCCCCTGGAGCCACTTGCGCTTAGGTCTGTATGTAAAGGATGGCTAAGAGGATTACGAAAATAACTTCGATGTATTGGAAGGAAGTGACCGCATACAAGCCCCATGGTCAGGGGTGTGTAGTCCCAGGCGAACCGTGCTTGGAGGGGAATGGGTTAGTCTGGTTCAAACCAATTTCCAGTTTCTCCGAGCTAGTTAATTGGTACCAGTCTAGCCTCAAAGGTCAAAAACTTTGGTTTCTACATTGGCTGACTTCCATATACTATAACGCAATCGCAGTATCAGTACAATAGCTACAACTCTGGGTGAAAGTCGAATGCATGGCGTATGCCCAAAAGGGGATTAGTCTAGCCGGGCGTTTCATCCACGAAGTACTGTTTTCCTATTGTACGCTGCATGTTACTGATTACGCTGGACAACTGCACAGGGCGCTATCGCAGTATACGGGGCGTCCTCTGGTACTAAGCATAGAAAACGCCAGGAGCTCCGGGAAAATGGAAATGGTTCACCACCTTGGAGTGTCTCACCCTTCCCCGCCTGAGGCTTCGTCCCGTTTCTAATAAACAACACATGCTTTACGCGGTTCTAAATGCACTGACACCACAATGCCCCCGTATATTGCGATAGCACCCTGTACAGCTCGGTCTTGTGGTCTCTATCCTCAAGATCTTGGTGAGCCTATTTTTCTCATACATCAATGCACATCACCTGTATGGAATATTGTTTTTTCTTTTATTTTCAAAGGATAGTGCGGGGAGCGCATTCTGATGGAGGGCGCCTGATACACAATAGCAAACCACGGTAAAAAACACATTTCAGGAAACGGAATAGTGCTGTAGCGAATCAAGAGGGGGCAGCAATTCCAGCGGTGATTTGCGCTCTCAGCCCCCCCCCACCCTCGGCCCACCCTGTAATTAAGTTCAAAAGAAGAATAAGACCGACGGCACCATAAAGAAGACGGTCCATGTTGGATTGAGATAGACGTGTGTTACCGCTATCGTCATCCTTTGCGACCGCCAGGATTATTGAAATTTAGTCGTAAATCTCAAAGCGGAGTAAATAGATGTCCTTTGTGGGAGTTGTATAAGTGAAAGCGTACGTAAACCTTTGTCGAGGACTAAGATGAGGGCACAAAGAATCCGACCCTTGGAGAACAGCGGTTCACGGATACGTGAAGTAGTCGAAAACAACTAATACATATAAAAAGTCATGACCACTGTTACTACAGCAACCGAAGTTGAAAGGGGCAATACGTTTGGATTGGCGAGGTGAGGCTCTTAGTTCTTGATTCTCTGATTCTCGATGTCTAAGCCCGTGTATGTTTAAAAAGAGATAAAAATTAGAATGACCAATACAAATCGAACTAATGGCTCAAAATTCACTGGGTGAAGTTTGCTTTGGAACGTTTGTAGTAAGTGGAACACCCACAACAATTGCGAGAAGTTCGTTTCCTCAAGAAAGCTCACGTGAAGTGTCCTGAAGTATTTCTTGATATCACCGACGGACGAGAAACGCGCTGCCCAGCACTTGGGTGTCATTTGTGTCGATTTCACAAATTTGGTGAGCTTACTGTACAGCGCTCTATTTCCTTTGCGAGGGTGTGAGTATTTTTTTTTTGCCAAGACCTCGTTAATAGAAACATTTCTAGGGAGTTCGGCATTTTGCTATCAATAGGATGCTCGGTTGTACGCTCCTTTCATTTAAATTTATTCGGGGACGGTGGTGCTTTTTTGATGGAGGGTCTTGGCAGGCGCTGAAACTCGTCTTTTGACAAGAAGCGATCGGGGCGTTATGCCGGTTTAGTTCCTTTTATTTAAATTTATTTCGGGAGGTGTTTCATTTTTTGATTGAGCTGCAGCGTTGAACTGTCTTGCAAACGAAGTAATATTGAATGATGCCTTTCCTAGGGTAACTTAAAGAAGATTTAGACAAAAAGAAAAGGACATCGTGGGACTGATGTCCAGGACGAAAAGATCGTCGCTGGACATCAGTCCCACGTACATTTCGCGCCTTAATGTATCAGAAAAATGGGTGTGCCCATCCGACTAGCAACACCGCTTCATGCTTTGAAAATGTATCGTTTCATCGTTGAACCTCAATTATGTAGTGAAAATTGCCTTGATGGGTTATTTACAGGGTTTTTCTTGAAAACCTTATCAAACGGAAACCATGAGAGGAAGCGGTTGAATGGCAGAATGTCAACCGTTGACGTATTGAAATGTAGAAGTAGTTTCTTATGTCTCTGGGTTACACAATATCAGAGTAAGATTTAGAGAAAATAGTGGAAAAAATCATGCTGCACGGCTTATTTGGTATCACTCGCTACTGACCGCGTGATACCAGTGAGTTAATAATAGAGTAAGTGTTTGAAAAAAGTGGGAAGTACGGCATCACATGCAGATGCCCGCTTGCTATTCTCAATGTGTTCTGCTAGCTGTTCGCTCGCGCGGAAGAGTGTTGAAGTAAGGCTTGACCTTTCAGGAGCTGGAGGGACTCGACTGTGATATGGAAGATGCCACTAAGGTCGTCGAAGCTTTGGCTGGCAAGTCATTACCAGAGGTTATGGAGGAGGGAAAGAAGAAGCTTTCTTCCGTACCATCCGGTGGAGGAGGTGGCTCTGCCGCTGCTCCAGCTGCTCCTGCAGCCGCTGCTGCCAGTGCACCAAAGGGTAAGCTTAACTTACGTGTCTTCATTTATTCAACGGGATTTGTCAGGTTTCAGATTTATTTGTTGTTGTTTTTTGGAATCCGAAATTTTAGAACAAGAATCTCGTTTTACTAGTGCAAGGCTCTGATTGAATGCTTAGTGCTGGTTTAGCACTCTTTGTGTCTTTGAAAATAGCAGTACTACAACTACGCGTTCTAGATCCTTTTTGTAGTAGCTCGTTACTACGATTATGCTCTGGTTTACTTAGCGGCTGTACTTTTAGTGGCGTGAAGCAGTACGTAGTTGTTGAGCAGTTTTCTGTGACTTTTAACGATGTAGGTCATGGAAAGATGTCCACCCAGCTAATGCGCCATTGCGCACATAGAGCTGCTGCCAGTCCGGAAGGTTATATATGGTGTCCTATATGCAGCGCATATTGAGCTCAAATTTTGTGGGTATTCATAGCTTTTCTTCCGTGACTTTCGTGATTGCCAGACCTTTTAGTCCTCTAGGTGCCTCTTGTTGTGAGTGGAACCACCAGCTAATTTTACGCTATCGTTCCGCCTGGCATCTGTTCATGCGCTCAAAAACTCAACACAGGCTGCCATTCGCAGCAGCTAGTCGGAACATCCGGCAATCAAACATCTCGCACTTTCTCCGCGGCAATCTATTAATGCGCTACACAGCCTATATCGCGCACGCTAGAGAAGAACCCACAATAGACGTATGGGGTCCGCTTGCAGCCATTTCCCGTAGGTTCTTGCCGTCTTGTATTCCTAGGAAAAAGTATGAGGGAACGCGGATCGTCTGCAATATCCAATTTTTCTTGAGAAAGGTGACCAAAACGCTGAAGTTTTCAACAAAATCATGCTGAGAGTGGTCTTATAACAACTGCTTACAAGTCATTGTAAGCTACATAAGCGCTACTGCTCAATCGAACCAGAGCAGTACAGCAGACAAAACCTGTGAAGAGCTGGTGCCAAGGGCCGAAAAAGGCTATCACGTGGGCACTTTTCTTCGACGGCAAAATTCCCACTGTGGAGCAGAGCCACAATCTTCAAACTTCGAGGATGCTTCCATGAGGTCCTGAGGAAGCAATGAAAAGTGAAGGAAGGTTCGCTTCAAGCAGCAGCCGAACCTTATCATGGTCTGGACGGGGTCTCAACTACCGGTCGCTCACCATCACTGCCTGTTTACAAAGGAATACAACTTGATACTAGACCGAGCAAGGGACATTTCGGTGCACCATCTGTTAGTGAGGTATCTAGCCACTTTGAAGAATGATGATCTTTTCAATAGGACCCAGCTTCTGCAAAAATTGTTCAGGAGCGCTGTTAAGGCACTCTTTCCGATTTCACATCCTCAAACGAATGGCTCTCCTATCCCTTGATTTCAGCGTGCTGGACCATCCTATGTGGGCTATGTTAGGGGCAGAGCCTGCACTAAACATTGCATCCACATGGATGAGCCGGAGCCTTTTCTCTGCAAAGTTTCGAAGAGAACACCCCAGGATGCCATGCGGGCCACAGTTCGAGTTGCGTTTGGAGCGGTTGAGAGCAATTAGTAACAGGGGCATATCGGGTGAATGTTATTCCTCTCAATAAGTAAATATATGGCTAAAAATTGTACAACCTCCTGAAGATACATCCATTTTAAAAGAAGTTCTAAGTCGAGAAAAGTGGTGTGGTATTCATGGGACACCCTGTAATTGTGATGGAGAACTGGGTGGAGTGGCGTTAATATTGATATTGTTAGTAGCTATTTGATTAATAATATTTATTTCAGCTGAAGCTAAGAAGGAGGAGCCAAAAGAAGAGTCAGATGAAGATATGGGATTCGGTCTTTTCGACTGATTTGTTGTTATTTGTTATTCTTTGCCTTTGGATAAAGAATTTATTTACTGGATGTTGTAGTTGAGTCTGGAGTAGAAACAAGTTGCTTTTTTGTGTTGCAGCGTTCCCTGTTGTGAACGGCTGCACTTTGTAGTGGATTTGCTTGCATTTGACAATCCTTCACTTCAATTTTTTGTTTCCTTGAGATATTACTGAATATTTGTTTATTTCTGTACCTGCTTCTTCTTACCTGCTTTATTTTTTGAGCTGTTGCACTTTTACCACACAGTACTTTCATTCTGAAGATAACCTAAATGTAACAACTCGAGGAGTCAAATTTGTAGTTTCTGTTTTGTTATCATTTTCATTGGTTCCCAGGCAATACGACCGATCACCCAGTCCTGTGTTCAGCACAGTGGTACTACATGCTACTTCTAAGTTCATTATATCAATGCATGATTTCTGTACGTAGTCTCCGTTAGAAGGGAGAAGTAATTTATAAGGTGTGAAAACACTATCTTCGAAATTCAGATTTCGGTAGACACACGACGCCTCCATATCCTAAACGAAAAAATAGACTCAGTTCCGTAGCATCTAATTCAGCGACGTTAGCTCATCTGAGAGAGGGATCATGACTTTTCGGAATAGTTTGGAAATAAGGCGGTGAGTTTGGAATTTACGGCGAGCTGCTATCCATTAGAGGGGTGCAAGTGAACTTGCGTCACACTGGGTTTCAATCGCAGCTGTCGCTTAATTCTTATGTTGACTGTTAGAAAACGGGATGCCTTCAAGGAGAATAGATGTGCAATACGCCATTCTAGACTATGATTGCTGGAGGTTAAAGAAATGAAACGTAAAATCTTTGATTGTCAGAAAGAGGTTACAGTTATTTAAAGTGTGGTGAATCAGTTGGCTTGGAACTGGTTAGCATGACCTTTTCGTTAATAATTCTCCTATAAATCCTCGTGCGGGTCAATATTCTGCATGAAGGATTGATCAAATAGTCTGTTTGGGAAATCGGAATGTTTGTCAGCAGGTGTAAGCCTATGTCAGGTGCGATAAGTAAAACCCGATTCTCTGCAATTCTCAGAAGGAGCACACATGCATGGCGCGTACGAATGGTAGCTACGCTTAAAGGTATGCCTCAGGATCAGATTAGTGTGGTCTTGCGCACGAATGCAAATGTATTTCGTGCCGAAATGGCGCCAGTATAAGAGAACGGAAGGATTCTTCGAACCGCTTGGTCAAGGAAGTTCATACCTTAATCGGCTGTGCTAGGCATGAGAGACTAACAAGGGAGGTCGTTCAGGGTGTGCCAAGCTTTTTCAAAATGGTTTCTTGCATGACATTGGGGCACATATGGGGACCACAGAACCATGGTTCATTTTTCCTGAACGGCCCTCTGAATACCAGAAAAGGGGTCCCTAGTTCGATTCCTCGTGGTGACAAATTTTTGCATTTCGAGTTGACGTTTCAAAATTCGCGCAAAATGGAGTTAGCATGAATAATTAGTACCAAATTCATGATTAGGACCGTCAGTAACCCTTACAAATAGACTTTGATTGAAAAACTGGTGAAAAGGTGTGACTAGGGACCCCCTTTTCTGGTATTCAGAGGGCCGTTCAGGAAAAATTAACCATGGTTCTGTGGTTCCCGCATGTGCCCCTATATCATGCAAAAGACCGTTTTGAAAAAGCTTGGCACACCCTGAAAGACCTTCCTGGTAAGAGGAGAGTATGAGGCGAGAGAGCGCAACAGATGAGAGGGCGCCAGACAACAGCCTGATAAAAGAAGCTTCAGCAGCTTACTTTGCAAGGCCCAAGCGCTCTTGTCGGTTGGTTTCCGTGCACGGGAACGCCACATTTGTGATTGTCCTCTAGGGGTCTATACTACAGACCGAAGGGAACTGTTCACACGAGTTTTGCCTGGGTTGGGCTTCAAGTCTTGTGTCAAGACGGACATATGATAGCGACGTATGCGAGGAGAGTGTTGACAGTGAAAAGTTTTCGGAAGCATAGTGAAATCTTTATTGAGGACTTTAATTATGATAACGGCTTGACTCTCAGAACAGTTATATAGTCATAATAAGACTAATATTAGTTCAGCTGGAGATAAAAACAACCGCGAAATGCTCATATGTATGAATCTCTTTTGTATGCGCCATACAGTCGATTCTATTCAAAATCACGGATTTGACAAGTAGCACGAATTGGATGTTGTTAAAGAGGGATTGCGCTTACCAGGACTAGGAGGTGACTAAAGGTCAGGGTGTGACTCTTTTGTGGCCACGAAGGCATTCGCTGCTACTCAGCAGAACTAGCTTCTAGACGTCTTGTCCCTCTGT